AACATGTACATATGAAGGAAATTAAAGTTAAATTAATTCTTGATATGAAATAAGAGATCCTTCAGTTTTAAGTATATGTTTTGTCAAAATATTTGCAGACGTCTGACCATTTACTTTGTTATATAACGTAGGGTCGAATAAATTAGAGTACGAATACAGTACATAAACGGTGCCTTTCGCACAGAGGTCAAATTCGGAAATTCTTTCCAAAATTAACAAACTTTGTTAATGGTAAAGTGGGCATTTGTATTTACCTTGTAAATTAATCTACCATTATATACGATAATCACTATTTGGTAGAAATAAATTTCCCCAAAATATGGATTTTCGTTTGTTTTGGTTTTTGTGTTATCTTACAACTGTGAAAAAAATACAGCAGAATAAGGTAGTAAAACACTATAAGTTTTGTTCCACAGCATGTATCCTAAATGTTTGGGTCTATCCATCTTTCTTAGAGTCATAAAATTTTTTTCTTTATATAATTGATTTTTGTCAATACTTATGCTGTTTGGATGATGTTTAAGGGTTTTGGGTTGTAGAGGGGAATGCCAGATGTTTCAATCCCAAGACATTTCACTATTTATACGTTTCACTCCCAATTTGTAATTGTATGGGCGTTTCATTCCCTTTTTTTAATCCCAAGTATCAGAATAATTTTAGTATAAAAAAGGGGAGTGAAACGTCTTGGTGTGAACCGTCTTGGTGTGAATCGTCCCAATAGTGAAACGTCTGTCTACCAGTGTAAGCCATAACCACGCGACAGAAAACTGTACGAAATCTGTATTCGCTGTAATAAAAACTTATTTGGGGTTTTATTTCATTATTTGCTTGAATGTGATACTGGACCATAATGAGGACGTAGACAACCGATGCGTCAAGTCACTGAAAAAATTTAAAAAGTGAAATAATAAAAGAAGGCGTAGATCTATATAAAATATTATCTATGTGAATGTTTCCCCGAGCAGTCAAGACTGGGGACATATTTAGATATAGAGACTACCAATTATCAGGGTCTTCCAAATAGAATGGTCTGGAAACACGCTATGTAAACCATTCTCGCTACAATAAACATGTCTTGATATAACACTGTATAGTTTGCTATATGCAAATTATGTAAGTGTTCAAGGAAAGAGTGAAAATTAAATACAAGAGTAAAAATGAAAGTTCTAACAACATGATGTTCTTTAAAAATTCTATTTGAAAGATCCTGCAATTACTCAACACTAAACATATAAAGTTGTGTTTTTTATGTAAATTTAGAACTTCAAATTCCATATGGCAAGAAAACTGTACGAAATCTGTATTCGCTGTAATAAAAACTTATTTGGGGTTTTATTTCATTATTTGCTTGAATGTGATACTGGATACATGTACGTACCTCTAAAGTCATTGTCATCCATAGATGATTACAGATTGGAAGAATAACTGAACTGCAAAGATCAGACTAAATTAATAAAAGTAACTTTGTAAGAATCTATTGCCAGTTGTTAAATAAGATTTGTTCTTATTTTCCCATTCTCGCACATTTGTACTCTTGAAAAAGCATGATAATTAATAAGTATTAAAACTTAAAAGTGTTTCAACTTTTTGCGCATTTAAATTGTAATTGTATCATAGTTTTGAGACCTTATTGTTGAAAATGTGTCAGAGTTAAATCGTATACATATACACGCACAGTGCGTTAACTGGAGTGCAGGTATTAGTTACCCGCATTCCAGAGCATGATTATTGATTGGCTCATTTTTGCTGGGGTTAACATATTGTGACGGAAGAGAAAGGGAAAGCGACAGAAATATCATATTCAGATGCTCGTTCATTGGTTACTTTTTCCCGGGGTTTCATATTGTGACAACAGGGAACGTGTTTTTATGTTTGACTACGATACAAAAGAGAAAGAACATCAAAACACTCGGCAATCTGATTAATACTCGGGGGCTACGCCTCCTCGTACAAATCCGATTGCCTTGTGTTTCGATGCTCTTTCTATTACTTGCTTGTGACCTAATCGGGTAAGTTCTTATTGTTTAATTGATTGTTTATATTATATAATACATGTATGAACTTTTTTCCAAATGAACAAAAAGTAAAAAGAAATGTATTTTTAATTGCCGAATTAATACATATTGAATTGTATTGTCCGCCGGAGCAATGCAGTATGGCAATCCACCAGGGCAATATAAATATTTTTTCTGAATATCCATCAGAGCAGTACCGGGACCCGTTTTACTTATGTGCTAATTTAATGCTTTTTTTCTTTCATTGTTTTGGACATTTACCCCCCCCCCCCCGAGCAATGCTTTGTTTATTATCCCTAGTGTAATACTGTAATTGGACTGTCAATTGTGGAACAATACATTTTTGATAATCTGTTTGAGAAATGCAATATGCAATTTGATTCTCCTCCACAGCAATGCATTTTTGATTCTCCGGAGCAATACACGTTAATTATCCTTACTTTATTCTCTAGATACCTGGAATATATTTCAGAACTCCCACCAAGCAACTCATTTCGATTTTCTACCGGAGCCTGCAATATATTTCTGATTACATGTTTGTGCCGGAGCAATACATTTTGATGTACTGGCGGAGCAATATATTATTTTTGAATATCCTCCAGAGCAATGCATTTTGATAATACACTGGAGCAATGGATTTTTGGTTATCTACCTAAACAATGGATTTTTGGCTATCTACCTAAACAATGTATTTTTGGTTATCTACCTAAACAATGGATTTTTGGTTATCTACCGAAACAATGCATTTTTGGTTATCTACCGAAACAATGCATTTTTGGTTATCTTTATAATCTACCTAAACAATGCATTTTTGGTTATCTTTATAATCTACCTAAACAATGGATTTTTGGTTATCTACCGAAACAATGCATTTTTGGTTATCTACCGAAACAATGCATTTTTGGTTATCTACCGAAAAAATGCATTTTTGGTTATGTACCGAAACAATGCATTTTTGGTTATCTACCGAAACAATGCATTTTTTGGTTATCTACCGAAAAAATGCATTTTTGGTTATCTACCGAAACAATGCATTTTTGGTTATCTACCGAAGCAATGCATTTTTAAATATCCACCGGATCAATGCCGAGCAATACGTATTGATTGCCTACCGTAAATTTACTATATCGGAGCTATGCACTATCTACAGGAGCAACATATTGATTGCCCAACGTAGCAATATATTTTGATATATCTACCAGCTATATGTGAAAAAAAATCAATTTTCAACGTCTATAATAAAAGTATTATTATGGACGTTGAAATTTGATTTTTTTTCAAAACGGCTAATATTAAGTTTTTGATATATATGATCAGTACATATGCTGGGATTGACAAATATACATTTTATTTGGATTTTTAAGGCGTTTTAAGCTCCACACCCCAAGTGTCTGTGGAGCGCTATATAAACACGGGGGATAAACACGGGGGAGGAACTGTTACACGAGGGGTAGAGTTTTTATGATAACTTGTCAGGGATTCTTGTGATAACTGGCACGAGGGCCGTCGGAAAACTTTTCTATGTACTACAAAAACACTCGTAAAAAATGGTTATTTTCATCTTTAAAAGGTAAGTTTAAGGTGCTAAATTTAACTTTAATGATTAAGTTTGCCTTACATTTTGTATTATGTGCCAAAAACTCGCCCCTTACTTAAAATCTGATAGTTTTGAGTAAAATTTCCAAATTATTTGCCAATTCGCACGCATCGACCTGTTTATTTCTGGCCTTTTTTCTTCACATACATAATTACCTAACTATAAAGCAAAATTGCAAACATAAAGCCCCAGCTAACAAATTTATACCAGATTTTTCAAATGTCCTAGAGTTCTTATGAAAAGCTTTTGTTACTGCCAGTGTGTTTCTTCCGCTTAATCACATTTATTCCTCCCCCATGAATAATAAATTTGAAGTTTCAGATTTTAAATCCTAAATTTTTCCCGTTTGATTTGGGCTATGCTTTCTAAACATGATTTCTGTAAAAAATGTCGCAGATTTAGTTTAAAGATTTTAAAACTAGAATGTTAGTAAAGCCCGTAGCTTGTATGAACCACACTTATTTCCACTTCTCTGGTCCGTGGTTTTATAGAAAATTTCTATGCTCAAACTCGAATCTCGTGTATTTGAATGATCAAAAACTTGCAAAGAATATGCACTGACATATGAAATCCTGATACTTGAAATATATCTAAAAATGTTTTGTTATGTTGAGACCAGTACTAATGTAAAACATGGTTGTGACTCTAGAATGATTCGAACCCATTATCTCTAGAGACTGGGTATTACATCATCGGAAAATGAGAATATTCCTTTAGAGGCACACACCTTAACTTACTGGACACTGATGTAATTTACTCTTTATATTCATGCTTCATCGATAAACCATTATTGATTACATAGGAGAATTCCAGCAGGGTTCGAAACTAACCTAGATGAGAGGCAGATGTCTCCTACACTAGACCACTTCTTCTATTGACAAATACACAGACGTTTTTTTTCTAGAGATATTTTCTTTACTATTACTTTTAGGCAAGGTTTAAAGCAAACTGATAAAAGTTATTTCTTGTATATGTCGTTAATTAGGAGCTGATTTTGATCACATTTGGCTTTAAAGCTGCAGTCTTCCAGATGACTTTCACCTTTAGTAAAATGTATTAAGAGTTTTTAAAAAATAAATAAATGTTCACATTGCAAATAAACTTTACATGTCATATTTAAAATTGGTTTTACCATTTTCATCACCAAATTCCTACCCTGACAGGCTGTTCAACGTGTCTTTTTGTTTGTTGTTTTATCTTCATTAACTTGAGGGCATATAAGTTGCATTTGGACCAACACACAATGGTGTCATTTTATCATAATTATTATGATATAATTCCCATTTAAGTAAACGTGTCCGTTACTACATGTATTTAAATCTAAATACTAATGTGTGATATAATTATAAGATTGTATTATTCCATATAAATACAACACGACACCTGTCCATTTTTTGTAATATCTTTATTTCAGTTTTCATATTAAAATCTTGAGTTAATTTACCTGTTTTACAGTTCAGTCCGTAGATGGTATGCTACTGATATGAGTGTCAATATTTATATCTGTTGCGTCACTTTATTCCATATACTTTTTAGTTCTTGTGACATCACAGTTCATACATACATCATATGTACTAGTTTAATATTCTTTGGTAAAAGTTTTTCATATTTATCTTTAGTTATTATGAGTCAATTTTATATGTAATATGTTTTAGTTCAGACCATTTCAGTTATCTTTTAGTCCACATCCATATATGTCGCGTCTCAGTCCATACTCCCTTCTTATTAATATTTGAGTCCATACCCTCTTTCAGCGCCAGCAGTACAACTCAAGTCTTCACCGGTTGTAAAAGTTGCTTCCGCTGCTAAAAATAAACATGTTTGACCTATATCTCGGGGCTCAGCGACACGGCGTAACACCTGAAATCATAGTTCGTAAAACAAAACACATAATCATTATAATGATAGTAACAAAACTATAGTGAACTTTCTATTTTAAATAAAACAAGGTTAGCTTTTAAAAAAGCTAGTAGCGACTCGCTTCGTAATTTTTTTCAAGGGGTGTGTTTAAATGTAAAAATGACAGTTCTGTTAGCTGAAGAGACTTCAGCGAACATCAAAATAAAAGTGAAGTCAACACTGGCCCGGTGCCCGATGGCCAGTGTATATAAGTTCAGGCCAGTGTAAATTTAAGAAAATTTTGTTAATTATTTAGTAGAATAAATTCAAAACTCGAATTCGGGCCAGTAAATTCAAAATCTGATACTCATTGATTGAAAGTGACATATAAAGTTCTCTCAGTTTAACCAAGATGAGTATGAGTATATATGAAGGTGCATGTAAACAGATTGAATGAAGAACCTATGTCTATGCACATTTACTATATGGCCTGTTGACCTTGACCATTAAATGTTAGATGGGTAGATTTCATAAAGATGTCTCTTTATACAAAATTAAGTTGTAATACATGTATGTTATTTAGTATTGGAATGAGAGGCACAAGTCCTAAAGTAAACACAAGTTGTCAATCAATTCAGCCAGAAAAGCCGGGATCCTATTTAAAAAATATAGGGATCCCGGAAATTGACCAGTCTAAGAAGATGTTTTTCAGATAAGCCGGGATCCTATTAAAACATATAGGGATCCCGGGAATTGACCAGTTCAAGAATATAGTTTTCAGAAAAGCCGGGATCGTATTAAAATGTAAATAGATCTCACGGATTGGCCAGTTCAAGTATATAGTTTTCAGAAAAGCTGGGATCGTTTTAAAACATATAGGGATCCCGGGATTTGACCAATTCAAGAAAATAGTCTTTGATTTTTCCAATTAATTAGGCATATAATTATAAGTATTGTGATTTCCGCATTTTAAGTTTGTTAATAAAATAAATAGCTCTAAATATATCTATATTATAAGTTAAATTAATTTAACGTTCATTATATACAATAAAAAAAATTAACGTTTAATGGCCTTTCATTACGACAACAATCAACACAAATATAGTTCATTAGGTTTTTCCTCCATATCTTATACGATCCCGGATCCCGGGCGTCCCGGATCCCGGCCAGTAAATACATACACTAAATACCGGAAAGGATAAAATGACCGGAAAAAAAGGAAAAAATAAAAAAAAAATGCACAGAACCAGATGTTACACTTATGTTTAATTAACCAAACGAAAACTTACTGCAGAGAAAACAGGTGAAATCGCTAAATCAGAAGTCAGTGTAAATATGATTTATTGAAAAGAATTCATAAAGACAAACATTTTAATCATCATTATATCTTGCGCTCAAAAACAATACTTGCTGATTTTTTAAAAAATGGCGTGAAATTGAAGGTTTTTTTGACGCTATGTAAAGATTAAATTTGATTGGCTAAATAATTTTGGATCCTAGCCAGATAAATAAATTTTGTAGAAAAGCTGGAAGCCAAGCTTCGATTAAATTTTTGGATAGCTTCAGAGTTTTAGGTTGTTTCTCAGTAAAATCCTACCGTAATACCGGCTCGCCGTGGCGAGCCGGCATAACTTTAGAGGTTCAAGGTTCCTGTAATCAAGGGCATATGAAATATGTTACATAAAAGGGCAGGCCGTGTTTTAAAAAAGGCCCTTTTGAGGGGGAAAATGTTATTTTTAAAGAAAAAAATTTTTCACCCCGGACGGGACAAAAATACGGGACAGTTTTTTAAAATTTTAAATTTGCAGGGGCCGGGATTGAAAAATGCGTGCCAAATCTATTAAAAAAATATAATAAAAAATCAAAAACCAACTTAAATAAAAAAAGAAAAAGGGCTTTTGGGTCCTTTAAAAAGTAAATATAAACTAGAACTATCACTAAATGTGATTAATACCCCCGCAAGACTGCTTCGGAAATGAGGAAGTAACTAGTAACAGAATACCTTGCAAAAGAATTGAAATAGAGTTATTGTTGTGGGCAATTAAAGATAGTTGTGGATATTGTATGTTGCATTCTCTTCTAATCTGGTTGACCATTGATGAAGTTTTATTGAATTAGTCTAGAAAGAGTTAAGCTTCTTGAGCACTGCACTTCCTCTCATTGCGCTTGACCATTGTATGACGTTGCATAGAATTCTAAACCTTAGTTTTTTATGTTATGCACCGGACAAGGAAAAAGAACAAAGGGCAATAACTTTACAAATACTGAAGATGTAGTTATGGTTATTGTACACTGCACTTCCTCTCATTGTCCTTGACCATTGTATGAAGTTGTATTTAATTCCAACTACTAGTTTTCAAGTTATGCACTGGACAAAAAAAGTAACAAAGGGCAATAACTGTAATTTGTCCAAATAGAGCAATGCACTTCATCTAACTGCCCTTGACCATTGTTTGAAGTTTCATTGATTGAATTCCAACCATTGATTTTCAAGTTATGCACTGGACAATAAAAAGTAACATAGGGCAAAAACTCTTAAATGAGTCAAGAAAGAGTTATGGTTTCTGCCAACTGCGCTTCCTCTCAATATACTTGACCATTGTATGAAATTGTATTGAATTCCAACCAGTAGTTTACAAGTTATGCTCTGGACAAGAAAAAAGCAATGGAGAAGTTACAAAGGGCAATAACTCTATAATTACTCTGGACAGAGTTATGGTTCTTGTGCACTGCACTTCCTCTCATTATGCTTGACCATTGTATGAAGTTGTTTTGAATTCCAACCAGTACTTTTCAAGTTATGCTCAGGACAAGGAAAAGTATCAAAGGGCAATCAGTTTTCAAGTAATGTTCCAGACAAGGAAAGTAACAAAGGGCAATAACTCTGTAATAAAACAAGATGAAGTTATGGTTCTTGTGTATTGCACTTCCTCTCAATGTGCTTGATCATTGTATGAAGTTGTATTGAATTCCAAACATAAGTCTTCAAGTTATGCTCCGAAAAAAAAGCAATGGAAAAATACCAAAAGGCAATAACTCTGTTATTACTTTAGAAAGAGTTATGGTTCTTGTGTACTGTACTTCCTCTTCATGTGCTTGACCATTGTATTAAGTTTCATTGAATTCCAACAAGTAGTTTTCAAGTTATGCTCCGGACAAGGAAAAGTAACAAAGAGCAATTTCTCTGTAATTAGTCAAGATGGAGTTATGGTTCTTGTGCACCGAACTTCCGCTCAATGTGCTTGACCATTGCATGAAGTTATATTGAATTCCAACTATAAGTTTTCAAATTATGGTCCAGACAAAAGGAAGCTATGGAAAAGTAACAAAGGGCAATAACTCTGTAATTACTTTAGATAGAGTTATGGTTCTTGTGCACTGCACTTTCCCTTATTGTGCTTGACCATTGTATGAAGTTGTATTGAATTCCAATTATTAGTCTTCAAGTTATGCTCCGGACAAGGAAAATGAAACGGACCGCTGGACCGACCGACCGACCACCGAATGACTCCTATATACCCCCAAACTTCGTTTCGGGGGTATAACAATCTGTAAATATACCGTTTGTTTTTTGCAGATTTCCAAAACACTTTGTAAATCACCTGTCAATTTAATGCATTCTTCCAGCAAAGGTGTCCTGACCGCCCCAGGTGATATTCTGTATTTAATGACCACAATGTATTATTAAATCATAAATATTCATCTTAGTTATCTTGAAAATCAGCAAGACAGGGACTCCACTGAGGTTTGAAGACTAAAAACATAACATTTGAATTTCTAACATGAATGAGCTGGGGCACTTTAAACAGAAATATATGCAAAGATAGTTAAGAAATATACTTTGAAATAAATTGAAAATCGTATTTTTATGCTTTTCTTAGCCCGATTTGAGTGAAAAGCGTTTAAACGCTTTTCATTTTGGGTCATGTTTTACAATTTGAAAAACTAAGTGCGCGAATGATCTAAAATTTTGTACAAAGATTAGTATTCTAAACCTCCATCAAATGGTACATATATCTGGAAAAGATATTTTCAGCACCATCATGTCAAAAAACTCAGTAGAGTCCCTAATGAAAATAATATGTCAAATACATAATATTTATGTATTGAATGATAATTTTTTTAATAGCTATGCAGAATAATATTATCCAGAAAAATAAAACAACACAATATTTATAGAATTACGTGTATATCGCACTTGAAATATGCAATGCCTTAAAAAACCAAATCAATTTCATTACAAAATGAAACAGTAAATTTCACAAATATGCTTGGACTATGAGTAAAACAAAAATGTTCATTCTATATGTTATATGTGATAAATATATTCTTAACAGCGAAATAAAACTCATTCTTTTAAAAGTTAGTTCCTAAATATGCGATTTAAAACCAACAGCTGTGCTTTAACACGAACACAAATGCATTAACCAAATAACTCACGCATTAACCCGAACACCATGTTTTCCTTCGTCCGTTGCCAATGCTCGAGTTAATCCGACCACTCCACCCTGAAATAATTGGACAGATTTATCATGGTATATCATGTTAGAGATCTGGAGACACTTAGGGAACTTAATTGTGGTTAACACCCAAAATAATAACATTTGAATTTCTTGCATAGATCAGCTGTGCACAGAAAGCGTGCCATCGCGTCTCGTGAAGAAAAATTAAAGTCACATTGACAAGGTAAAACAGAAGATTTTAGTATTCGTTATGGTAATGGAAATAAAAAAAGAATTTTGGTACATGGACACTCTTGATCATGGCTGCGTTTACTAATCTTAGAAAATAACTTAAAGTAAAGGCAAAGTCGGAAAAAATGCTTAATATGGAATTTTAATGGAAACAAACAAAGAACTTATGATTTCGTTTTAGTTTCGATATTACAAACATGAAGTTTCAAACTGTTATATCACTAAGAAATGGAGTAATACAATGGTTCAGGTAAAACCTTCATTACTTTTCATTCATTTTTCTTAAAATGGTATATCAGGACAATAAATTCTAACAGATTTCGTCACGAATGGACTATTTTAGACTATTAACAACGTCGAATTAGCACTGACCTTCGTTGCAACATATGTCACAGCTTAATCTTGGCCCGCTATGAATGCCCCGCTTGATATGTTTACAATTGACCCTTGGGTTTGTCTTATATAGGGTAAGGCATACTGAAATACAGACGTGTAATTACAATTCCATTTATTGATAGATAAATTTGTGATTTAATAAAAAAGGTTAGAATGTTTATACTGAAAAAAAGTGATTTGTGTCTCGTACATGTAAAAAGAAAATGTATTGAACTATACGTAAGAGAGAAATTAAAGTATCGCAGTACTCTATTTAGAAGACCATTTGCTTTTATAATAAGTCTTGTATATCATTTCCAATATAACTAGCCAATAAAAATAGATGTAACAACAAAGCTTGCCTTGCATGTGAAAAAGTAGCCAATCAAAATAGATATAACAACAAAGCTTGCCTTGCATGTGAGATTGTAGCCAATCAAAATAGATATAACAACAAAGCTTGCCTTGGCTGCATGTGAGAAAGTAGCCAATCAAAATAGATATAACAACAAAGCTTGCCTTGCATGTGAGAAAGTAGCCAATCAGATTCAAGTCTATTAGATCACGAAATTCTTGCGCTGAAAATTCATCAATAGTTCTCGAAGGCGGATCTATAAAACATTAGAATTATAAGACCATTCATTTTAACAGGTTGAATACAAAAACCTTCACATATTGTTTGTTTATAACAATGTTGATTAAATTACTGAGAATATCTAAAAGTCCGGAAAAAAAAGATACAAAAGTCTGACGTTAGTGATATTGATGTTCTCCAGAATGTATCTATCTATATAAAGTAATTATGTTTTCGCCAAACACAAGAAAGAAGCGTAAGTGCAGACTAGAGTAAAATAAATAGAAAATAAAATTTCTCACGTCATCCTGCGTTGTTTACCAAGCAGTCAATTTTGTCGAATTTCTTCACTGTGGTTTCAACTGCAGCCTATTAAATAATTGAACAACATATGGCTTTTTCTAAATGTACACGATACCTATCCTACGTGACATTTTCTGATCTGGTATCATTTTCTGTCATAATTAGATCTATTAAAATATTTCATTATTTTTAATGGGATAAAATGCACAGCCTGCCCATTCTAATAAATACCCTATACATGTATCTATTTTTATCCCCCAAGAAAATTGGTATTTTATTCATAAGATAAAAGTGTGTGTTTGGACGATCAGAAATTCATCATAATTAAATTAACAACAAAAAATTGCTTTCGTAAAAACATTCTATATACTGGGTACTCACTTGAATTAGAGCCAAGAGGACTTATCAATTAATCTTAACATAATAAAAGATTTTCAAAAAAGTTACTGAAAATAATCCTGAACCAGTTTTACTGCTGGTTTTCTGCCCAACGCAGATCGCAAAAATTCATGTGGTATAGGCAACATTAAAGAAATTGTTTAAAGTTTTTTTAGTTTTGCTTCTTGTCTTGAAAATATCGAGAAGTTATTTGTGATTAAACATAGTATGTTTTATAAAAGAAATTAGTAAACAAGCATGTGTTTATTTCGTTTTCGAGTATAAGTCGCTTATCTGATAGCTAGTACATTATGCTTTTTGTGTAGTTTGATAGTGATAAATGAAGAGGAGAGTAATTATTTCAAATGATTAACATTATAATCTTATCACTATTTCTATGCCATATTTCGAGTGTGTTGTTCAAAGATATATCACGACAATGTTTCGTTTCACTTCATGCGTAACGAATAGCGGCGCATGCGCTAACTTTTACTTCCGTTGCTACAGATATCCTCGTACCTTGATTTCATCTTCTTTTGTCATGTCGCAGTGGATGAAAAGCACCTCTCCTGTACCATCTGGCTTCATTGTTTGACCAACCGCATCTATATCAAGTTCCAATATTTTTAAATAATTAATAGTACCAGAAAACTAGAATTCATGTTGCAATGACAAACATAATCATTGTAGGGAAGACAAATTCGATTTATTAAACAAGAATTGTCCTCGAACAGCGCGCTCCACTTTTCTCAGTTCTAGTGCTGGATAGTTGAAACAAGAGGGCCATGATGGCCCTGAAATCGCTCATCTGTGTATAACATAACAAGTAACAATTAATATTGCAAACTATAAAGAATCAAAGCACAGAAGGCGCTGAATTTGTTTGGGTCTCAGAATGTAAGAACAGGTACAGGTTGTGAGATTAAATGTATAGTGCCACCAATGCTTTCCATCGTTTTAATTGTAGTAAATTGGCTATAATACTAATTGCAACACTGATATTCAATCCAATGTTTATTTGACTTAAACCATTTGAAAAAGAAATGAGTTGCCTTTACTGGGATTTGAACTCCAGACCTCTCGCTTCCTAAGCGAGCGCGAAAACCTCTCAGCCACGGTGAATTTATATGTGAACGGCCTGAAGAAAACCATAAAGGACTGCAAGTTCTGTGGTATTTTCTGATTGCAATCTAAATCGTACTGTATATCTGTATGTATTTTCCTGTATAAGTTTATTTTTATGTATTATAATTCATTTTGCAAGGCACCAGAGTTTGATACATACGGAATTCTGCATAACTAGAGTTGCATCAAAAAATCATTTATGTTCATTTTTACGACAGCCACACTTTACCCTTGCATATCATGGCTACTTCATTAACAAAGACACTTAAAAAGGAATTTAAAAAAAAATATCCTCGACTGGGATTTGAACTCCAGACATCTCACTCACTAAGCGAGCGCGTTACCCCTGCACCACGGAGAAGTTATACAAACATTGTCTGAATAACATCAAGTCATTCTAAATTTAGAACTTCCATTGCATTTCGGGTTTGTAATTCCTTATTAAGTTCAGGATAAACCTGTTGTTTAAAATTGAAGTAAATAATTTAGCGAAAATCTTCTCGCCCAAACAGTCCGACATGTAAATCTATATATGCCACTACTCGGTTTGTGTAGTATTCGGTAATCGACATCGCTAAAATTACCTAAAAATAGTATTTTCATTGATAAAATCATATTCATCCGCGTAATTTGTGATTGTGCATTTATTGACAATTCTATAAGCCAACGCTATTTTTAAACTTTGAATGCGTTGTAATTTGTTGGATACTTGTAACAAAATAAAAATATTTCTTTCTTTTAAATCGCTAGTTTTAAGCTGTTTTGAGATCTACTTGTTGTTAGGTTTGTCGTAAACTTCTTTGTCAGAGATTGAATTTCCGCTTTGTATTTACTTATTTTCGATCAGAAAATACAATAAAACAGTATTAGAAATCTTCGACCATTCGGGAATTATTTTGCTTGAAAATTAATGTGCCTGTCTTTGACCATCTTTACGCAGTGATCTCCCTTGAATTTTTCGCCGTTAGTGTACATATAAAGGGAAGTAACCGCTTCAAAAAAGTGGACTACTTTCGGCATTTGCAATTAACAGCATTAGACTCTGAAATTTCGCTACCATTATTTGTTTGGTCTGACGATCCAAACAAATAAAAACCATCTTCAACTGATATCACAAAGCTCATATTTGTATCTGAAATAGTGCATGTCTAAAAACATTACTGGTTGCTATCACTAAAGGAAAACAACAGTTCCGAAAGACATGCACATATAAGAAAAATCAATGTCCCACGGGGGTGGGGTTTTGGTAGACACACACAAGAAGATGTTTCATGTAAATGTCTAAGCTCTTGCTTTTTGGGGTTTTTACTACATATATACAAGGAAAATTAATGACACCCAGGGGCGGTGAGTATTTTGATCCTAGGACTTTTATTTGAACAAACTTGCTAGACACTTTGTAGAAGATGTTTCATGCTAAATATCTAAGCTCTAGCTATTTGGGGGTTTTAAAAGTTTTTTTTAAAGTTTTTACTATATACATTTAAGGAAATTCAATGACCTACCGGGGCGGGCCAATTTTGACCTCAGGGCTTTTATTTTAACAAACTTGACAAGCTAGACACAAACTAGCAGTTGTTTCTTGCTAAATATATAAGCTCTAGCTATTTGGGGGTTTTAAAAGATTTTTTAAGTTTTTACTATATACATTTAAGGAAATCCAATGACCTACCGAGGCGGGTCAATTTTGACCCCAGGGCTTTTATTTGAACAAACTTGGTAGACACTAGAAAATGTTTCATGCTTAATATCTAAGCTCTAGCTAAAGAGATTTTTTAAGTTTTTACTATATACATATAATGAATATCAATGAGCCCTGGGGCGGGGCCAATTTTGACCCCAGGGCTTTTGTTTAAATAAACTTGGTAGACACTGACTAGATGATGTTTCATGCCAAATATTTAAGCTTCAGCTCATTTGTTTTTTAAAAGAAGATTTTTAAAGTTTTTTTGGGGGTTGCCATAGCAACCAGAGTTTTGCATTGAATTAAATTCTTTGAATTCTTTTTTAAGTTGACTACCAAAGGAACATTCCTGTGAAGTTTGAATGAAATTGGCTCAGCGGAGATGTCGTTTAAAGTAAATGTTAACAGACGACGGACGGATAGACGCCGGATGAAAAGCGATCGCAAAACCTCACCATGCCACTTTGCGACAGGTGAGCTAAAAAGGCAACTTATAAAAAAGGGGCATTATACTGCAGACATGCTTAGCAGACCTACTTGTTCTATGTAGTGAACAAGTACTTCAAGTTAAAAGTGGCAAATATTCCAAGTCAAATTTCAATGTATTTCAAATAAATTTTGTAGCGAACAAGTATTCAAAGTTTTAAGTGAATATCTTTAATACACTTGGAGTAATGAACTTTTACAAAAGAAAAATAAGACCAAGAAATTCTAAGTCAATAAAGAGGCATAAATGAGAAAAGAAGTTAAGAAATTAACCGCCGTTTACAAAATGCTATCCAATTTTAAAACTGAACTAGTTTTCCAAATTTGAAATAGCTGACTTTGACAGTTTTTATGAAATTGACCTTAGAAACAAGCAAAAAAAGTTAAGAAATAGGATTTACTTTGCAAATATGACTTTTAGTATCATCACTTTTCTTTGGTGACATATTTTGAAAATGAACTTGTATATCAAGTTTTAAGTGTATTTCTGATAGTTTCTGAGAAAAATGGATCTTAACAAAATGGTAAACCAAAGTCTATTGTTGAAAAAGGGGCATAACTTTGTATCAACTTATAAAATAATCTGGCAATTTGAAATGACGTCTTTTTATGACAATAAACATCAATGTCTAGTTGAAGAGAATTGCCTTTGAACATGGAATTTTACGAAAAGGTTAACTTACGGCGACGCCAACGAGTGAGCCGACTAAGTATAGGTTAGTGTTTAATAATACATATTAACAAAAATAATTGGTCAAGTCTGCCGCAGGCAGTCGACCAATTATTTTTGTTAATGTGTATTATTAAACATTAACCTATTTAATGATCAACATTATTTTTTCAACCAAAAACAAGGCATTTCTCTAAATCACCGATAGCTCCGCCCTTTCGCTCTAAAAGATGTCTACACCTTGTCAAGTTTCTAACATGTCACATTTAGAAAAGCTAAATAAATGGCCTTTTCAACATATAATTAGGCACATTTTTTACTGAAATGTCACAGAATTTATACCTTTATCTACAGTAAGACTATCATGTTTCTATAAAATATCTGGAAAAAAAACAGCGAGGAAAAAAATGCAATTAGGTAAAAACAATGGAGTTAATGAAATGTGTAAATCCTTTTAAAATAAATGGAAAATGTGAGACAAATTCGTTGTTAGCTTCAAGTTATTCACTAACATTTAAAATCCCTATTGATTTGCTCATTTGAAAAACAGTTGACCTTTTTTTCTGTATGTCAATTTAGGTTTACAGGTGGAGGGGGTCCATTTACAATGAGTTTTCCAGCCAAAAATGTAAACATTGTATTCTTAATATCAAGGATTGTTAATGCAGTTACTATCAACTTGGTTACTTTTCTAGAAAATATAAAGTTTAAATCAGTCAGCAATTTATAACAGACATTTTTCTTAGAGTTAAAAGGATATAAAAAGTTACTATGTAATCATTTGTCTCTGCGTGCCCCACATGTATTATCTATGTAATAAATTAATTGTACCCACATTTAGAAACACCTGACCTCGGTTGGCATTGTTTTGCTAACCTTAGATATTTTACAATTCAGAGTGCAAATCACACCTCTAACTCCTTCCTAATATTATTGAAATTTGTTAGACTGGTTAGACGACAGATTAAGTAAATTTTATTTAGTTAGTACAAATTAACCAAAGTTAGACTTAGCAGAAATTTGAAAAATACTACAATGTGATTGGACAAAAAATAATGTTGATCATTAGGTTTACTCAAATGTTTGTAATTCTGTTTTAAGCTAAAATGAAATACAATTAATCTAATTAGTTATTGTTTTGTTTAGTTTGTTATATATACCAACCGTCGATATCAAATACGGCAACTTTGCCTCCATTTTCAACTGAAATTAATAAAAAACTCTTTTAGATCTAATAAACTTTGAATTCCAAAACGATATCATTAAATAATTCACGGGGGGGAATCACGTGACTTTGTATAGTAATACCCACGAGAAAATGGCGACTGCTGAGCCCCGGTAAGTACCTTATTATGTTAAATTAAGGTGACAAACGTTTCTTAAATCAAAACAAAACCTAGCGTATCATATGCGCGTTAATTTTCTTCAAATGACAATACAAAGTGCATTATCCTACGTTTTGTGGTTTTTGAGAACATTGTTTGAATTGTGTGAAAACTGCACATTCAGCGATAGTAATTTGCACGAAGCGATATAATTTGGTACCAAAATAAATGAAAATAAGCTTTCTTTTTGCACTTAAGACACCAAATCAATCATTTTATTGACATCTGTTCTTGTAGAATTCCATATAAAATTTTGTTCGAAGGTCTGTAGCCTACAAATGCTCTTTGCAAATGTTTAGTAAGTAAAACGAACAATTTATGGATAGTAAGTTACACGAAAACAAAATAGTAAGTTTCACGCACAGTTTCCAATAGCTTACTAAAATGTGACGAAACTATTTTATAATTCTTTTGGTTTCAAATTTGCAAGTGTGTTCCGTCTACGGTGACAGAGAAACAAATATCGAGAGAGTATATTAATAATAATTCATATTATTTCATAATACATGTATTCATATTCATATAATTTCATAAAAGATTACTTAACTTAAAATAACTAAATGAGACATTGACATTGATACTCAACAATGTACGTTACACTTGGCCCTTTTTCACGTTAGACTGGACCCACATCCGTTATCTTTAGAACTAGATTTATAAAGAAATAACTGTGCAGAAGGAAATATTACAACACCATCATTTATTTTTCAGTATCTGCAATTTGGACCAAAAACGCAAAGGAGAAGACATTCGACATATTTAATGCCATCATAGAACTGGTATACAAAGTTTTTATTAATTTTATTCTTACACTGGCAGATATTATAAATAAACACAAGAAGTTTTGTTAAAATGTTATGTATTACTATACGTTTATTTTCTTACCATGTGCAAATTTGTTGCGTCGTAAACTCTTACTTTTTGTTTGTGATAGAGTAAGTAAATAAGATATTCAATGCGTCCATGGCCGAGTGTTTAAAGTCCCTGATTTTTATACACATGCTTCTCACCGGTATGGATTCTAGTCCGACCAGAGTCCTTGAATTCTTTCATCAAACTAGCTAACAAAACGTCGGTGCTTTAACTCAGGTGTCCTGACATTGACGGTGTGACTTGAAACCCAGCATCTAAGATTGTTTTATGTAAATATTTTTTTACTCCACTTGCCTTCATATCTTTGACCGTTTGATTTCAAATATACGTTTTTCTTTGAAGGTCCAAATATGCCTCTTAAATGCTGTCATTTTTATTAAAAAGAAAACTGTTTATTTTTGGTATCTTGTTACAGTTTCCGAAAACATACTCATTTGCTAGATACTCAAACTATCTTTTACATCTTTGGTTCTGTTGGAAAATGGTATACCTTTAGTGAATAAGTATTTCGTATGGAAGTCGAAATACTACTTTTTTTACATTTTGCTACCTTAGCGACACATCACTTAATATAATGTTCAGTGCTACCTTTTTCAGTTGTAATAAAATACTATCATACGTTTTATCCATTATTTAAACATTATCAAACACATGTTTGACACTTCAAAAGAATTTAAACAATATGGATTTGTGAGGAACAATGTGCCTTTAATCATAACTTGTATCACTGTATCATTGTTGTTTGTTGTTGTTGTTTTTTTGTTTTTTTTTTGTAAGAAGTTATTTTGTTCTTGCGAATTCTTCAATATATGTTCATAAATTAAGTAACATAGTGACTAAATGTAACAAATACCGCCATATAAAAACATCGATCAGCATTCAGTTAATAAACATCACCATACCAATTAACAAGCAATTATATTTGTTCATTACAGTAAAATGAGGGCCAAGACACACCTGAAACTGCAGAGGTCAAAGAACTCCTATCGCCACAGAAAAATAACACTGAGCCGTGTAATATCAAATCCCATCAAAAGTTCATTTGATATATTATAATAGCAACCAATTAAGCATTCGTCCTATAGACAAAAATGTGAAATATTTGATCTTGCATAATTGAAATAAGTATTTTCTATCTCTTAACATATGAACTTTAACTTTCTTTTAATGTATATGTATGCTAATGGAATCTGTGCGTGAAACTTACTATTTTGTTTTCGTGTAACTTACTATCCAGAAATTGTTCGTTTTACTTACTATACATTTGCAAAGAACATTTGTAGGCTACAGACCTTCGAAAATATATTTTATATGAACTTCTACGATAACAGATGTCAATAAAATGATTGATTTTGTGTCTTAAGTGCAGAAAGTAAGTTTATTTTCATTTATTTTGGTACCAAATTATATCGCTTCGTGCGAATTACTATCGCTGAATGTGCAATTTTCACACAATTCAAACAATGTTCTCAAAAACCACAAAACGTAGGATAATGCACTTTGTATTGTCATTTGAAGAAAATTAACGCGCATATGATACGCTAGGTTTTGTTTTGATTTAAGAAACGTTTGTCACCTTAATTTAACATAATAAGGTATTTACCGGGGCTCAGCAGTCGCCATTTTCTCGTGGGTATTACTATACAAAGTCACGTGATTCCCCCCCCCACCGTGTAATTGACACGTCATCATATAGAACTGTAGTAAAGATCTTATCACAAATTTTCATTTTTGCACTAAAAAGTCAATAATTAAGTAATGTTCCTTTAAAAAAAGCAAAAAAACAAAAACAAAAAAAAAAAACAAACAAAAAAAACAACAAACACAAAAAAAACAACAACAAAAAACAAACAGAAAAAAAAACATGAAATAATAGCTTCATCATTCGTCAAGTTTAAAGCCACATTCAGCTTCTCTAAAGGTTAAATATGTTATTATTTAGATATATCGTTTCATATCATGTAAAATCAAAATGGTTAAGGTGGAAAATGAAATTTACCGACGATTAAATACATAAACAATAAGGAAACCCCACAATACCTCTTATGTACCGGTCGGTTCTATACATGTATATTTAGATAAGTAAAGCAGATGATTCGTTTCACTTGTCTTCTATATTTAGAAACAAACACCATAAACGCGTTAAAATAGCTCCAGGGAAAGGCTTAACAGTGATAAAATGCACTTTTTATAAGATAAAAATAGTCAAATACTCTAAGAACGTATATGTTAGTGTTCATCCGTGCTGTTCTACTTTGCCGGGAGAGAATGTTTCTAAATATAGGTTAAAGTTTATTAGTACGTATTTACAAAATTAAATTGGTCAGGAGCTTCAGCCGCGCGAAAGATTTAATTTTTTTTATTCGTACTTATAAACTTTAACCTGCTTAGTGTTTTAAATTATTTTTATAAACAGTTAATTTACTAGACTGATTAACCGTTAGACGATTTACCAAAGTAAATGTGTTACGATTCATTTGAAATATGGCAATCCTATTGAGGAAAATTACTGTAGAACAGCTACGGATGAATTCTAACATACTTAGTGTCAAGCTTCATTTGGCTTCATAATATTCACCTTCGTCACGAATATTTTATGAACGCGGTTCTATGACATACTATGAAAAATTGAGGCGAGAATGAACGGACTTTTATATAGTATCGACTTTTGCTCTTCTATAAAAATTTTGTTTTATAAGAAATACAGCGTTTTCATTGGATGACAAATAAAGCTGGACACTAAGCTTGAAATAACACATTGTTGTTTTCAAACAGAAAATAAAAGCTGAAGGCAGCTAGAAGTCCGGTTTTCTCGAAAGAATATTGCCGAAACGTCATTATGACGTCAGTTGAGGTTACTTGATCAAAGGAGAGAGAAAGCTTGATAGGAATACATTTTATTCTTATCAGCATTTTAGAACCGAAAAATATCTAATTGTTCGGGAGCCATTCTACACAATAAATGATTCAAATCATACTCGTACTAGAATCATGTCGCAATTATGACGTCGTTTAAAAGTTTCGTCACAAGGTAGAAAATCACAAAACGCTGCTTAAAACTGTCTATTTTATAGGAAGAATATAGTGTTACAGGCGATCCTGAATGTGAGAATATCTCTTACCGAATACATCGACACACCCTCTCCCAATGCCTTTACATCCTCCAGTCACAATGGCCACTTTATTTTCAAATCTTAATTTTGACGTCATCTTTAAACTTGAGACCTACAACACAGATATTTGATGTGATTATTTGGACGTTACACGTGAAGATGTGCTACAACAACATAATATGTTTGAAACCCATATTGTTGTCTCAAAACAGGGACATTATCTCACTAAAAGTAAAATTCCTATTGATTTTGGCATATTATCTGTAAGAAACTCGTAAAGAAATATCTACGCAAGTAGAGTTCCAAGCGACTAAGATGATGACCCCGAAAAGCTTATAATTCACCCAATGTTATGTAGATATTTTTTGTAAAACGAGTTCTTACCTATGCTTGTGATGACATGCAGAGGTAAATTCGTTTGGAAATTAATAAAACAAAAATTGCATCATTTATCATTCTTGAGAAGGTTATAAAAGGGACGACCACACAGAGTCTCAGTACATACGAGGGAGGATAAAAAATTATCCGGACTTGATAGATGATTCATTACTTGTTAAATGCATTTATATAAAATATATACAGAACATAAATCGGAATATAAATAAAACGTCGCCACGCTACTTGGCGGGGTCGCGGGGCGAAAACAAGCTCATAAGCGGGGGCGGGGGGTGGGGGCGAAGTTTTGTTTATTAAACTTCGCCCGCGCCCCCGCTTATTACATGTATTAGTGTGTTTTCGCTCCGCATCCCCGCCGTTTTATTTCTTAAATAACTCTCCGCGCCCCCGCGGGGCGACGTTTTATTTATTAAACTTCGTACCGCGCCCTCGCTAATTAGCGTGTTTTTCTTCCGCGCCCCCGCCATTTTAACTTGTTAATACTCGACTTTTCGCTTGGCGGGGTCGCGGGACGAAAATACGAATGGCACAAATCAACCACCATACTTAATATTTTTTCCTTCAAATTTTGCAAAACATTCTTAAATCTGTTTGAATTCTGAATATCAATATATGAACATACTTTTGTATCGATATATTTATGTTTAGAATTGTTATTCTTTTGCAAATTTAATTATTAATTTGATGGCGTGAAAGTATACCATGTTTATTCATAACCTGATAATGAAAACAACACAATTTCAAGGTTACCTTTCTTACTCTATTATACGACTGCTGTCATCAGCTGTCACGAACTTATATATAGTTAAATGTTATTCCATTGATTGATAGATAATAATTATAAAAGTTTTACTTCACTAGTTTACACGACTTTAAATTGGTCTATATATAGATATAGCCACGTAAGCGAATTGTAAACACGGGAAATCATCCGACTAGCAAATTTTACATTCTTGCCATGAGTTTCTTCCCCTGACATATTTGTGAGCGTTTTGTTCTCTGAAAGTGCAAGAAATATGACAACGTAGCAATACAAATATTTTGCTTTCTTATATCGACTTACTAAACACAATTTTTGAATATGACGCTTGATTTACTGCGGAATATCACGATTTATTTTGCGAGTTGTAAATAAAAATACAACTACATATACATCAGCTTTACACTTCGGTACACATTTTAAATTTCTTGCATTGTTGCATAATATTTTAGTTACATTTTCTACAAATGGAAAGACTATGTTTTCTAATCTCCCTATACAAATACTGGACTGTACAACTGTCCGATTACATTAAATAAATGAAGATAGTTTACCGAGACTTAATATCGTTGAACAGGGCTAAAATCACCCCTTCATCTGTTCATCTTAAGGGACACTGTTGTGTCTCGGACAAAACGCATCGGTGCATAACAACTATTTGTTCAGTCTATCTATTTGTTTATCTTTATAAACTAGAAAAACAGTTAATTTTGAAGAAATCTTAACATAATTACCTTGTAAAGAATTGTATTTTTCTTTCGAGATTATTAGGATAGTGCTGTGCGGACATATAGTCCTGGCTTCCAAAACTTTAAAGGAAGACATAGACACAATTTTCATTTCTTCGTTTTGAAATTTCCATTATTTTGTTAATGCCTTCTAAATGAATACACTAGACAGTCATAGGTCCTTGTAAAAATAAAATGGTAGTTTTCTAACTTGACCCACGTGGGTCAGGTTGGAGATTTCACAATAGTTGTCACAGTGAACTCTGGAAACGTTAAAGAACATGTCAAATGAATGACTTAGACTTGTTTCGGTTCTACAATATCCACAATTTCTTCCACAATATCTGTTATTGTAACCTTCAGGGTTTGGTCAAGTCACAGGACTTGTATTAAAACTACTCGTTGATTCTGTTGGCGGCAATCTTTCGTTCAACATATGTAGATATATTTACGCTCAAACCGAATATATATAGAATTGATACAGAAATTAATGATCGGACCTAAAAAATGTCATTTAAGTGTCATTTGAGAACATAAGATCATTTTAAAATTTCTGTCATTAATTTACCTGAGTATCACTTTAATATCCGCATTTTATGTAGTAAAGCGAGGACACACGTGTACTTTTTTATTTTGGTTGTATTTGTATTCGATAGCCTTCAAAAAGTAAGAAGTGAATAGATTCTGTAATATAAGAAGTATATATAGAGCCTTCAATAAGAAGTGAATAAAGCCTTAAATAAAAAGTGAATAAAGCCTTCAATAAGAAGTGAATATAGCGTTCAATACGTAGGAAGTGAATGGATTCTATAATATAAGAAGTATATATAGATTATAGAGCCTTCAAAAAGAAGTGAATAAAGCCTTCAATAAGAAGTGAATATAGCCTTCAATAGGTAAGAAGTGAATAGATTCTATAATATAAGAAGTATATATAGAGCCTTCAATAAGAAGTGAATAGAGCCTTCAATAAGAAATGAATAGAGCCTTCAATAAGAAGTGAATAAAGCCTTCAATAAGAAATGAGCAGAGTCTTCAATAAGAAGAGAATACAGCATTCAATAAGAAAAGAATAGAACCTTCCGTAAGAAGTGAATATAGCCTTCAATAAGTAAGAAGTGAATATATCCTATAATATAAGAAGTATACATGTATATAGAGCCTTCAATAAGAAGTGAATAAAGCCTTCAATAAGTGAGAACTGAATAGATTCTATAATATAAAAATTATATATATAGCCTTCAATAAGTAAGAAGTGAATAGATTCTATAATATAAGAAGTATATATAGAGCCTTCAATAAGAAGTGAATAGAGCCTTCAATAAGAAATGAATAGAGCCTTCAATAAGAAGTGAATAAAGCCTTCAATAAGAAATGAACAGAGTCTTCAATAAGAAGAGAATACAGCCTTCAATAAGAAAAGAACAGAGTCTTCAATAAGAAGAGAATACAGCCTTTAATAAGAAAAGAATAGTGAGAACTGAATAGATTCTATAATATAAAAAGTATATATAGAGCCTTCAATAAGAAGTGAATAGAGCCTTCAATAGGAAGTGAATAGAGCCTTCAATTAGAAGTGAATAAAGCCTACAATAAGTAAGAAGTGAATAGATTCTATAATATAAAAAGTATATATAGAGCCTTCAATAAGAAGTGAATAGAGCCTTCAATAGGAAGTGAATAGAGCCGTCAATAAGAAGTGAATAAAGCCTTCAAGGATAAGTGAACAGAGCCTTCAATAAGAAGTGAATATAGCCTTCCGTAAGAAGTAAATAGATCCTATAATATAAAAAAAGTATTTATAGAGTCTTCAATAAGAAGTGAACAAAACCTTCAATAAGAAGTAAATAGAGCCTTCAATAAGAAGAGAATAAAGAGCCTTCAATAAGAAGTGAATAGAGCCTTCAATAAGAAGTGAATAGAGCCTTCAATAAGAAATGAATAGAACCTTCAATAAGAAGTGAACAGAGCCTTCAATAAGAAATGAATAGAGCCTTCAATAAGAAGTGAACAGAGAGCCTTAAATAAGAAGTGAACAAAGCCTTCAGTAGTAAGAAAGTGAATAGAGCCTTCAATAAGAAGTGAATAGAGCCTTCAATAAGAAGTGAACAGAGCCTTCAATAAGAAAGTGAATAGAGCCTTATGTAAGAAGTAAATAGAGCCCTTAGTAAGAAGTGAATAGAGCCTTCAATAAGAAGTGAATAGAGCCTTATGTAAGAAGTGAAAAGTCTTCCTTAAGGAGTGAAAAAGAGCCTTATAATTATTAGAACTGAATAAAGCTATTTGTTAGAAATGAATGCAACTTTACATAAACCATATCTATACAGCATTGTCTTTGAAATAAATACAAGTAAACCTTTATAACCATTTCATAAGAAATCAATAGAGGATTTAACACTTCATAAGAAGTAGATCGTTCTTATATAGTCTTTTAATTAGAATTGATTTTAATCTTTCGTAAGAAATGATGTAACGAATAAGATTTAGTAATCAGAAAGTAATTACAAAAATAATATGAAATAATGCAGAATTCCCACAAATTCTTAGCACCTTTCTACTTTTCCCTAACCATTTAAACTAGATAAGAAGTTGCAGGATCCTTACTTGGCAGGTGTTACTAAAAAACCCTTCAGTTTATCCTTAAAACTTTCACATAAAACCGCTTTCTTTACGAAATTGCAAAATCTTTTCTTGCTCATAAAAATTCTTGTATCAAATTCTTTCCTCGACTTTTAAAATCTGGAAAATATAAAGGTATTTTGCCTTAAAGTTTTAAGTGCGTACTTGTTTTACACGTTTTATAGCATATAAAAATTATACATATATAAAATTGCTTCACGTTTGCGTTTAGATGGGGGAATTTAGACACTGAAAATAGTTTTCTTCCTCAAGTATTAAAATAGCACGCCTCCAGATTCATACTTATGTTCAAGAAAATTTTGAACATGTATTTAAAAATGAAATATTGTGAAGTGAACAAAGGCAGTAATTTACACATTGCAATTGACGCTAACAATCCACGTAAATTACCAAAAGAGGTCTAAAGATGCTAAAATAGCCCTTACTTTGTTAGTCACGCAGCAGAAACATGGGTGAACACTTGTGAAAAAATACTGCAAAATCAGCATGTAATTGCACATATCATGTAAATTATTACTTGAATCTTGAATCTTTTAACTTTGCATAAAATCTTGAATTTAGATTGTTTTTTGATTTTTTTGTTTCTGGAGGGAGATATATCTGTCAAACTTCCCATAGAAAGAGGTTACTACATGAAATGCTGTTCTTTGTTTAAATGTACACTTTTACACTTAGTAATACCCTTTTTGTCTTGGAAACAAGCATTTAATTACATATGAACATTTATCCTACTGAAAAAGAAAAGAAATGGTATTTAAAGAAATTTAAATTTTCAGTCATCAGCCAATTTAAAGCGCTTGAAGTCGTTTTTGTTTTCTAAATGCATTATGGCATTTTCAAGGGCGATTTCAACAAAACACCACGTGCAAACACAAAACTTCCTTGTCTTATAACTGTATATATAAGAGCAAAACTTCCCTTATTAGTTTAACTTATCATCTGCACTTCAGAGATTGTTTTTTCAACAAAAGCGTTTGTTTAAATACGAAAAAATGAAACATATTTATTTAGTAGCTACAGTTTTTGTGTTTTTGGGTGTATTACTGGATTCCTCAGATGCATGGAAAGGGTAAGTGCTATATATCTCATTATAATATGCAGTACATTTTCTACGGTCAATTTTTTAAAGGCCATCACTTTAATTTTGTAACCTCTTTGTGATTGTGGGGTTGCCTTTCAGTATTTAGTTATCAGAATTGCAGCCATCGTTTAATCCTGGGTGATTTTAGAAGGTTATCAGATATGTTGAAATTACTGGAGACTATGCATCTCTTAGTTCCTGCAGGTTTTCAGTGGTTTGGACTTCTTGTTTTGCTTTAAGTTAGTAACGACGTTAGCCAAAATCATCTTTCCTGTTCCGGCGAACATAATTATATGAGCCGCGTCATGACAAAACCAACATAGTGCGTTTGCGACAAGCATGGATCCAGACCAGCCTAAGCGCAGTCTGATTAGGATCCATGCTGTTCGCTATCAGTTTCTCTACTTGAAATAGAGTTGGTAAGCGAACATCATGGATCCTGATCAGACTGCGCGGATGCGCGGGCTGGTCTGGATCCATGCAGGTAGCAATTGCACTTTGTTGGCTTTGTCATGACGCGGCTCATATGTCCTAAATTGTGTTTGTTGCGCTGTAAAACCAAACAAAATTTTTTTGGTAATTAATCGATCTTTATATATTGACAGCATATCTAAACTGGACTCGCCCCATCTTTTCAAATTTGAAAAAATACCCATATATCATTATCAAACTGTTAGCTCGATGTTTTTTCTTTCACATAAAAATGTAAAACATATTTTAAAAAATCCTATTCGAATTTTCATCAACATTAAATTTTTTATGAATAACGAACATTTTAAATTAGTACGATTTAAAGAAAGTTTGCCTCATTTTAACTTAGTCACCCTCGGTAACCCACGCTATTTATCGTATACGGTTCCGACGTATTCAAAACGAAACATAATCTTATAAATAGTTATGCTCTATTTTTTTATTTACCCTTTTTGTTAATTAAGTATGAAAATTGTAGGGATGGAATACCCACACAAAGTACATTAATGTGCATGGAAATTGAACAGTCCAAATTCCGCTATTTTCTATTGTTCAAATTAGTTTCAGTAAAAAAATACTTTTTTAGATCGTGCTGGAATTCCTACATAACAAAAATTACCTATAGATATGAACTCTCTGTTTTATTTTGCTACCAGCTTATTCTTTTGTCATTTTTCTGTCGTGCTCAACATTACTTTAGAAATTCATACATTTCAGACACTTTGAAAGAAGTAAGACGAACCAGAAAAGAATTAGCGTATTATTGTGATGGCTGGATTCATATGTGGTAAGTTTTTGTGTATTACATATTGGAAACAGATAAAATATATACATGTAAAATTTCAGACTCCGTTTTTGTAAAAAGTTCAACCTATTTTTTATGTCCCGCTTAATAAGTCATGTTCTGGCTAATAGATAACGCGTGTTCTTGCGTGTCAAGAAAAGGATTTTTGAGGTGTTTAGAACATGTGATTGGCGTGCATGGGATAAGAACTGGAAAGTGCAAGTTACCGTCCACGCCCCCCTAGCACCGGCTTAAGCAGAATTCAACATTTAAACGTGAAATGGTAAAATTTTAAATTTAGAACATCCGTAGATGTGTTCATACGGCGGTTATCATGGAACCTTCAATGTGACACTTCCGTGCCATTCCATGAAAAGCGGCGTATGGTCCCCCAAGTAATAAAAAGCGTGTGCCCTAAACGAGAAAACAATGGGCGGAACTAAATAAAATGGAAGTTTGAAAGGGGATCAGAGGTTATGAAGCCTTACTTTACTTCTTTACAAAATATAATTTAATGAATTATACAAGAAAATTAATAAAACAAAATGGCTGTTGTTACACAAGGGAATGTCCGGTTTTCGGGTAATTATTGCAGAACCCCGTTAACGCTGTAAAAGTTACTCCTTTGCCAGATATTCCAGTTTGTACCGACAGTCAGTTCAAGGCACAATACTCGTGTTTTTTATTTTTATTTTGATTTTAAATTACTTTTAACTATTGCAGGGGATGTATGACTTGGAAGTACTACTGGAGAACCGTTTACTATAATGAAACAATTTGCAGCCCTGGATGGACACACAATGGGGATCAAGACTGTTCTATAAGAATCTGATTTCGTCAAATTCGCAGGATATATACAATTTTAGTATTTACTTTTATGAAGACATACAAAATTATTCCAAATTCTAAATTGATGTGTTCAAGGAGGCCTGCTTTGGCTTATTTCAAGACAAATAATTATGTCTGTTGTATAGTGCATTTTTTTTAGAAATGAAAAATGTTGTTGTTTCGTTGTGTTTCAAATTTTAGAAGGAAAAAAAAACATTTGCCTCTGCTTAAAACCACTTCATCAGTTAAGTTGTACCATCACAGTAGGGAAACTTGTACAAGTGATAATACTAAATGCGAGTATTATTCTTGACCAGGTAGAATAATGATGCGCATCGAGGAAAGATGATAAGTTTATCACACTTTTTTTAATAAGTGCAATAAAGTCTTACATGTTTAATAATTTATCACTGATAATTGGTGACGGACATACTGTAAGAAGCTATACGTGACATTAAAATCTTATTTAAAGGCGCATGCAAGCCAATTAGACCCTATGCCTTCTCGACCACTTTGGATATTAAGATTACTTCAAGACCATTGGCTTCTCGACCCCTTAGGATTTTAAGATGACTTCCCGAACCTTGACTTCTTGACCCCTTACGGTACCCGACCCTTTGACTCTCGACCCCTTAGGAGTTTAAGATGACCTGTAGACCCTTTGACTTTTAGACCAGATTTTTCGACCCCCAAAGGGTAATGCATTAAAGACCCATTGTGCTTCAGAAATGATTTTACTTTCATTTTTCAAAAGGTCTTTTTTAATCTTTTTGTGGTGTCCATTTATAGTTTTTAAAACGTTACTGATTGGCCAGTTTCCTGAATCATCTTTTGCATCTGTTACTTTTTGTCAATAAGTGCATTTACAGTGATTAAGAATTTTGTATGGAAGCAAAATACTATTTGTTTTTACATTTTGCTACTTTCATAACTTCACATTCGTCGCTATTATTGTAAGAAAATAAGCATATTACTAGATTTAAATTATATAAACGTTATAAAAACTCGTCTTTTCCCTTTCTAAAGAAATGTTTCACGATAATGCCTATAGCATTTAATGATTGACAAAGAGTTAAAAAGTTTAAGACATAAAGAAAAGCACAGTTAAGCAAATTTGCTCAGATACCTTGTGTAAATGATATGAGATCAAATTTATACACATGCAATTTGAAATAAATTTTCATTTAATCAATACAATATATGTTGTTACATTTATTATCTACTTATAAATGCAATATTGAGACAGTGATATTTATATTTTCCGTATTTTTTCTGTAAAAGTTTAATTTACACAGCAGTGAAACATAATTATATTCCATATTTTTCATTGGTGTCTTGTCGGACTTCATTGTTCATAACCAACCAATACACAAAACTAAAAGGAGGAGTTTTTTACAAATTTTTTTAAGGTTAAAAAAGAGCCCAAAGAAATTTTAAAAATAGAAAACCCAAAAGCTTTTTTCAAATAAATCAAGATTTTTTTTAAATCTTGTGAATGAAAAATTTTCTTAAATTTTATGAAAAAAAAATCCCCAAAAATTTTTTAAAAAAAAAAATTTTAATATTCTCTATGTATTACCCAAACCCCCTTTTAATTATTTAAAATGTTTTTTTCCCGAACCTCCCAAATTTTGAAGTTGGGTTTGCCCTAACAATAGAAACAAACGTATAGAAGAAGTTTCTATTAAAAGATACCCGGACGAGGTATAACTGCTTTTACTTGCATCGGTTAATGTACATGTTTTCTTTCCGAGGTCGTGGGCGTTATTGGTTGTCTCCTCATTTTAGACCATTATCAATAACTCGATAAATTCTTATGTTGAATAAGATATTCACAAGAGAATTAATGAACATCTTTAAAGCAGTGTAAAATATTTACTGGGAGGACGTTCACATATCTCATATATCCGAAAAATTTAACTAGAAAGTGTGTTTCCGATATTCCTTTTATAATTTTGACTTGTATACATTTCAGAATTATCCTTTAGATTATTATACTAATTTTGGAATGACCAATAACGTTCCCGGAATTCAGTTTGCAATTTTAAAATGCCCAATGAATATCACTCTTATATTCAGTTCTTCCCTATTAATTTTACAAGAAAGTCAAACCGATCTCAGACGGATTTCGTCCGAAAAACATCTTATTTTAAGTCTTCCACGACCACTTTTAAAGAAAGGTCTTATGGGTTATACGGATACTAGCAGAGGTTTTGTTTTCATCATACTTCTAATCAGTCGAGATCATATAGGATTTTTCTTTTCAATTTTGTTTTTTGTTAGATTTTTTTTTAGAAATGAATAAAAAAAAAAAAAAAAAAAAAAAAAAAAAAAAAAAAAAAAAAAAAAAAAAAAAAAAAAAAAAAAAAACACCCTGGAAATACTAATTTAGTCCGTCGCATTAAATTTTCATTCCTTAATTACCAGTACTTTTTTGTATGAACTTTTGATAGCATTTTTTCCTTTCAAGTTTGAAAGGGTGATATCTGGTGAAGAATACTTTAGAGGTAAGATGCCACTAAGTAGGAATGAAAGTAGGATTGTCTTTGTATGATAGAAGGGTATTATGATTGAATTTAGTATTTGTTATCTGCCTAGGAACAATTATACGCATGACTGATTTGTACAATAGCCAAGGGAAATTACCCCTACATATTTTAACAAATAAAATACAACTATTTTTTCCCTTTTTGGGTTTCATGGGACCATTTTTCATTTTCATTTAAAAAGGGATCGTGAGTGATGAGAACTAATTTTTTATGCTTTTTAAAATTTTTTTAAACAACATATTTTTTGAGAAAACCCGCAACCTTTTTTTGGCGTCCCGATGATTTTCAACATTTACCGTAAAACCCGGGTTCCCATTTAAAACCCTTTTTTTCACAAATTTCCCAAAATTTAAAAGGGTTTTTATGACTTTGATAACAGTCCTCCCAAATTCCGATGGAACCTTTAAAGAAAAAACCCCCTTAACCCCAAAAATAAAGTACAAAATATTTTGAAACGGAAACGGGGAAAACAAATTTTTTTTTCAAAACCCCCAAAAAACCAAACACTTCTTGTTAGCTGTCTTTTTTCACATAACTTTCCATTAGGCTAGTACATTAAGACTTCTTCATATTATTTTTAATGATTTTAACTGATGTTTTCATTAAACTAATTATTAGATTTAATGGTATTACGTGTAGACTATATTATTATAGCTGTAAAATTGAAAAAGTATAAACAGTAACGTTATCAGAATTTTATTTTTTCACCTACTCATTGTAACATATGGTGGCTAATAAGTTTCATGTCGTATTTTTGCTCCGCGGAGCGCAAGAGAAAAACACAAAAATACGACAAAGTGACAACTTTGTCGTACTTTTGCTCTGCGTTGCGATCATTCGTCTTTTCGTGTTTCGTCTGTCGCCAATTGAAAGGCAAGAGCACGAAAATACGACAAATGATCATTTTATCGTACTTTCGCCCTGCGGGACAGTAGGCAAAAACCTTTGTCGCATTTTCGTCTGGCGCCCCAAAACGAAAATACGACATGAAACAAATCAGCCACCACAGAAAAATATGTTATATAGAAGATTTTTTTTTGAATATTGAAAAAAATATGTGGCAAATAATACTCAGAGTTTCAAACCGAATGCAATTGATAATACTGTTTATTTGTTCCAATAATACATTCAATTTTGCTTAATCGCCACAAGTCTACATTTAAAGATGTACTATGCTTAAATTTGCTATTAGAAATATTGATAATTGCTTAACAGTCTCAATGAACATGCTTTGAGTTCATTCTAGGTAGATATGTTATGTTTAAAATTCTACACACTATATGTGGTTATAAAATGAATATGTAGTGTCATTAAAGAAGAAAAAAACTGACAGATTTTAAAAGAGAAGACCAACTGTACTTGTACGTAATAGAGAACGCAGCTTCCCATACCTAGTTTATTCATTCTTTTATTCAATTTAATCATATCCAGAAAGAAATTCATAGATTTCTATAAATTTCTGTGATTAAAAAAATTTACTCACGGATGAGCACTGTATATCTAAAAATTGTGCAAAACATTATACAAATTACAGGTTTATAAAGAGAAAATGATAAGTTACTTGACACACTATAAAAAATATATATTCTGAAAGTAAAAACCATACTAAAAAAGATGTGCACAGTTGAGATTTGAGCCAAAAAACTATATTTAGTCACGTACGACATTATTCTTTGTTTAAAGATTCATTTCTCAACTACATTTATTTTCGAAATATACTATAAAAAAGCACTGTTTATGTAAAAAAACACCTAAAAAACATATTCATTGAAATATTTGCAAAGTAGCATGTTTATATTGATGTTTCTGCAAAGTAGGAAATCGTTTGTTTTACGGTATCTATTTTGTCCAAAATACTTGGTTTTACATGTGACTTTATAGTTATAAAGTTTGTAATCAGGCATGGAATATTGAGAGTATTATTTCAAGAATGACATGTGAGTTCCCCAATCAGAAAAATTTTAGTGTGAAAGTAATTGTGTTTTCTATAGATGTAAATGAAAATTTGTTAATGCTTGTTTTATAAATAATTTCTCAAGGATAATTCCCACTTTGTCAGTGTTTTTTTTTAATCAAAAGTCTGTGCATTTTTCTTAAAACAAATGCTAATCATTGTAATAAACACTTATGAACTCGAATGAAACAAGCAGAACACACTTTGTCTGTGATAAATTGCATTTATTTATCAATAGCTAGAAAATAATGGCGGTAAAGAAATTAATTTCTTTTGACTAAAATTTGAAGCAATCATATTTACAAACCATTTGTCAAAGATAAAATTGTTACATTTCTTTTTCTTTCTAAAACATAAGAAAATAGATGTTTTTTTAAACATATACACTTTTCATAATGTTTAATAGTACGAAGTAAAAGCAATACATATATATGTAGAAGTGCGTATGCAAATTTGCTGTAAATGAACCATCGAACTTCAAACTGTATGCAACTATATACACTATTTACTTCTGTCAAAATATTGCTGGTATATTGATGCAACGGAACATATGTTACACATGTCAAGTGTTTATGAAACGTTTGGGCATAGCATCTTTGTTATCCTTTTTTGTATTATCATTTACTTTACATAATTTAAGCAAACATATAGCGGGAAAATCCCTTCTTACAGAACTTAAAATAATTTTCTTTTCAAAATATCGAAGACGTTTATTTAGCCATTCAATGTTTATTGTTTCAAAACTCAAACGA